ATTTAGACAATAACACCATAAACATGAAGTAAGACAATAAGTATTCAGAGTTATTCAGAACAGTAAGCATTAATTCACCTAAACCTTCAGTTTCTAAAATTGATCCATTGTATTTATAACATTTTTGCATTCTCAATATTAGCTTCCCAAAGCAAATTGATTGGTTATGAATATCTTATATCTCTCTTTGTGTGTATATGCTTCTGCACACAAATGTACCGCAGATACTCTCTTTCATTAATAAACTTTTAAGCAGAAACAATTCATCCATGATTTTCTATTGGTTTGGAAAATAACAAAGTACCATTTTATATCGAATAAAACATTTAATTCTTATAATCTAAATGCTGATCCTGTACTTGTTCTTAAAATGTGAGCCAGTCACTATCCCTTTAAATAAAGGCAAAATAAGGAGAGACCTGTGTCAGCTTAAACTCCTAAATAATGTTTTAAATAAATAAGGACAATAAATACACTTATTTACCTGCAGGAATGTGTAAAGCAGAAGTCCCCAACCTTTTTTGTGCCACGGCCCGGAACCGGCATCACAAAATGATCCGCGGCCCGGTACCGGCATCAGCACGCATGACAAGGCAAGGCGAGCCGAGCGACCAGCCAGCCAGCTTCTCCCCGCCACCTTCAACTCCTCCTTTGTACCTTTGTCGATGGGCTTCGCTTCGGGACGACTTCGGGACGGTCGCTCGGCTCGCCTTGCCTTGGGTGCTGAAAGAATCCTCGCGCCTTAGTTTCGTTCGAAGCACCCCCCCTTCGATGAAACTAAGGCGCGAGGATTCTTTCAGCACCCAAACGCCACTTTCCAACCGGAAAAGCTCACCCAGAAGCACTTTCTCGTCGAAACAAGATGGCAGCGCCCAGCAAACTGGCGGCCCGGTAGAAAACGTTCCACGGACCGGGACCGGTCTGCGGCCCGGTGGTTGGGGACCCCTGGTGTAAAGAGACCCCAGCCTCACTTGTAATATGTAGTAATGTTATTTATGAAATTGCATGCAATGTAGATTTGAGTTCAGTTACTTCCTAAGCAAGCTTATGGGTTGCTTTTTTTTTGGAGGAAGGAGTAATACTAAGAGCAATACTAAGAGAGATAATATTTTTGCCATGTGACTTAAACTCTGTGGATCTGTTTCCCTCTAGCAATATTATGAAGTCAAGTAAACTAAATCATGCTTTGTTCTAGTCCTACGTGCATATTTCCTTTGGCAATTAGATTGTGATTTGATTCAAAGCATCAAATTGACTCAGATACTTCCAGATTGGTTCATACGATTGCATGTATCCTGTAACTTTTCTGAACTGAATTGACTTTTTAAATTAGATGGATTTAGTGATTTAATTTGACACTTTGAATTTGCTTGATTTGTGAATTGAATTTGCTCAACTACTGGAACATCCATTGAATTAACTTTTGAAGAAGAGCTCCAGAAGAGAAGAAATGTTATGGGGCAGTGACTTAAGGCTGCTTAAAGCCCCATCTTCTATCCACATGTTTGTTGTGAGACTAGGCTGAAGTTGCCATAAACTGAAAATGGAGCAAGCACATAGGCTTAATTTATTCCCACTGCATACAGTCACGCAATACACATGAAACTATGCCCTGAGGCCAGCATGGGAGGAATTGGGTATTTAATGGATTCTGTAAAATCCTTCAACTCTTTAAGAAAGAGGGAGAACATTTTAAAATAATCTATTTGGATTTAAAGGGATCTATAAACTATTTTAAAGGGATCTAAAGATGGAAAAAGACATACAGTTCCCCGTAATTCCAAACCTTTCTATAGAGAATCCCTTTTGAAAGACCTAGCACCATTATTCAGACAGCCTCTGAGCATTAGGTTCATCCTGGTGCCTTCCTTCTCTGCAGGAAGCCATGTGATTTTTGGGTGGGGGGACCTGTGAAATTTTTCTTGCATGTTTTCTCCAGAAGGCAGCTGCCCTGCCCTCAGGAGCCGCCACTGCCTACAAAACTTTCGGTTGGGCAATTCTTACGTTGTTCTCTCTCCCAATGAGATGGGGCTGTTTAAGTATGGAAAATGCCCCATGGTATACACTTGCTGCTGTGTTGTGGTTTGGAAGGGAAACAGCTGCAAAAGCCTTGCATTTATGACACATTGGCTCTACCGCTTGTTTTCAAGTACTTCCATGTCCTAATTACAATGGAAAACTTTTAAAAATCCATCTCTTTTTTTTAACCCCTACATTTTCCGGCTTACACGAGTTGTCCCATCTCATGTAATTGATGACTCTAAATCTATTCTATTAGTTTGGAATCAAATCCTTTTACTTTAGCTTGTGTGGTGTTCAAATTCTACTTCACATAGCAACACTGAAGCCGGGTGCCAGCATGGTGACATGGTCTGTGTTAGGATCCAGATTCTAATTCTTTAGGCATGGAAGTAATCTTAGGTGGCCTCGTGCTAGCCATTCCCTCTTAGCCCCATCAGCAGTAGACTTTGTGACCAGCTGATTATACCTCCCCTCCCCATTGCTTTACCATGTGATATGTGTGAATGTAGTGCAAAAATGAATGGACCATATTCCTGCATCTGTATAATAGAAATTGCAAAGAACAATAACAGCAGTGACATTGCAGTTTTTGATCTTACTCATTCACTGGTTAGTATTGAATTATATCAAGAGGCAGATACATTCCCATAGTATCTGCTAGCTCCAATCAACACAAACCATAGGCCAATAGGAAAGTCTCCTCACAAAATACATTGCTCAAAAAAATAAAGGGAACACTTAAACAACATAATGTAACTCCAAGTCAATCACACTTCTGTGAAACCAAACTGTCCACTTAGGTAGCAACACTGATTCACAATCAATTTCACATGCTGTTGTGCAAATGGAAGAGACAACAGGTGGAAAGTATAGGCAGTTAGCAAGACATCCCCAATAAAGGAGTGGTTCTGCAGGTGGTGACCACAGACCACTTCTCAGTTCCTATGCTTTCTGGCTGATGGTTTAGTCACTTTTGAATGCTGGCGGTGCTGTCACTCTAGTGGTAGCATGAGACGGAGTCTACAACCCACACAAGTGGCTCAGGTAGTGCAGCTCATCCAGGATGGCACATCAATGCGAGCTGTGGCAAGAAGGTTTGCTGTGTCTGTCAGCGTAGTGTCCAGAGCATGGAGGCACTACCAGGAGACAGGCCAGTACATCAGGAGACGTGAAGGAGGCCATAGGAGGGCAACAACCCAGCATCAGGACTGCTACCTCCGCCTTTGTGCAAGGAGGGACAGGAGGAGCACTGCCAGAGTCCTGAAAAATGACCTCCAGTGTGCCATAAATGTGCATGTGGCTGCTCAAACGGTCAGAAACAAACTCCATGATGGTGGTATGAGGGCCCGACGTCCACAGGTGGGGGTTGTGCTTACAGCCCAACATTGTGCAGGATGTTTGGCATTTGCCAGAGAACACCAAGATTGGCAAATTTGCCACTGGTGCCCTGTGCTCTTCACAGATGAAAGCAGGTTCACCCTGAGCACATGTGATAGACGTGACAGGGTCTGGAGTTGCCGTGGAGAACATTCTGCTGCCTGCAACATCCTCCAGCATGACCGGTTTGGCAGTGGGTCAGTAATGATGTGGGGTGGGGTGGCATTTCTTTAGGGGGCTGTACAGCCCTCCATGTGCTCTCCAGAGGTAGCCTGATTGCCATTAGGTACTGAGATGAGATCCTCAGACCCCTTGGGAGACCATAAGCTGGTGCGGTTGGCCCTGGGTTCCTCCTAATGCAAGACAATGCTAGACCTCATGTGGCTGGAGTGTGTCAGCAGTTCCTGCAAGACGAAGGCATTGATGCTATGGACTGGCCCACCCGTTCCCCTGACCTGAATCCAATTGAGAACATCTGGGACATCATGTCTCATTCCATCCACCAATGCCACATTGCACTGGGACATCATGTCTCATTCCATCCACCAATGCCACATTGCATCACAGTCTGTCCAGGAGTTGGGGGATGCTTTAGTCCTGGTGTGGGAGGAGATCCCTCAGGAGACCAGCCGTCACCTCATCAGGAGCATGCCCAGGCATTGTAGGGAGGTCATACAGGCACGTGGAGACCACACACACTACTGAGCCTCATTTTGACTTGTTTTAAGGACATTACATCAAAGTTGGATCAGCCTGTAATGTTTTTTTCCACTTTCATTTTGAGTGTAACTCCAAATCCAGAGCTCCATGGGTTGCTAAATTAGATTTCCACTGATAATTTTTGTGTGATTTTGTTGTCACCACATTCAACTATGTAATGAACAAAGTATTTACTAAGAATATTTCATTCATTTAGATCTAGGATGTCTTATTTTTGTGTTCCCTTTATTTTTTTGAGCAGTGTATATTGCAGCCAAGACAATCTTCATAAGAGCATCTATGGCTTATGAGCTGTCTGCCCTCTTCAATGGAGCTCTGAGCCTTAATTTGCTTCGTAGTAGGGCACAGCTTCAATTTTTCAAATGGAAAAACCTAAGTGTGGTGAGGAACACATCAAACAAAATACTGGCTGGTTGCACACAGTACACTAAGCAATGATATTTTTTTTAAAAAAACTGTGATTTGTTTATCAAACAGCAATAGCCAGATTGGCAGGTAATGCGGAACTATAAACCAAGGTTTACAATGATTCAAACTATGTGCTACCTCAAAGCCAAACAAAAACATTATACATAGAGGAAATAGAATATTGGAAAAGGAACTAGTTTCCCTAGTACCTGCTCCAGTGCTGCCCCTGTAGCAGATTATCAGGGAATTCAGTCCTTGACAGACAAACACTCCCTGCCAATCCATTCAGAAGTTTTGTCTTGCTAGCGCTGCAGTCCTTTCTGACCCAGGTTTCCTTTACTTAGCATTGCTGAGCAGAAATGTGTGCCTCTGAGGAACTGAGAAGGAGCCTTAGGCAACCTGCTGATTGCTGAGAATCCACCATTCTGCAGGAGTATCCTTCACCCCTGCCTTTCTGCCTGCAAGCTACTGTCTCAGGAAAGAGTGTCTCGGCCCAGTGAGAAGCTGCCCGTGAGAATGGAGTCTTCATACAGGGAGCCAACTTGCCGGTGGGCCCATCTGGGGCAGAAGATTTGGCGCAATTCACTTGAGATGCTGTTGCTGAATGTGGCATAGACCCAGGGGTTTGTACAGCTGTTGAGGCTGCCAATGAGCATCAGGAGGGTGAAAGCTGGGCCTGGAGTAAATAATAGGAATGATGAACTGTCAGAGTTATCAACAGAGGTTAAGCTCATCAAAACTTATCTTGCAACGTATTCAGTAAACGTATTCATCACTGAGGAACTAAAAACTGAGGTTGGGATTAAAAGAAGAACGTCACATGAGAGTTTTTCTGTAGTCAAAAACTGGCCACTCAACCCAACCCTTACTTAACTTCAGCTCTTTCCATATGCAAATGTAATGTGAATTGATATAATATATAAGTAATATAGCAATAGCACTTAGACTTATATACTGCTTCACAGCACTTTACAGCCCTCTCAGTTTACAGAGTCAGCCTATTGCCCCCAACAGTCTGGGTCCTCATTTTACCAACCTTGGAAGGATGGAAGGCTGAGTCAACCTTGAGCCTGGTGAGATTCGATCTGCCAAACTGCTGGCAACCAGTGATCATCAGAAGTAGCCTGCAATATTGCACTCTCACCATTGCCCCACTGCAGCTATATATAAGTAATATTAATATGAAATGATAATAATATAATATAATATAATATAATATTAATATAATAATAATATAATTAATATAAGTCAAAATATAAAGTAAAAGGCATGATTCCCTGTATTTATTTGTTGCACCTATTGATTGATTGGTGCTTAGTTCCATGTTCTGCTGAATTAATTCAGATAGCTTTGCATGAATATTTGATTGCAGAATTGTAATGCATTGCAGAATAAGAAGACAACAGGATCAAGGAAGTGGCAAGCAAATTATGAAGGGAGTGCTGGGCAATTAGATCACCATCTCTAATAGGTAGTCAAATCAGAAAGCAAAGTCTCAGAGAAATCACAAAAATATCAGGGGAGAAAATAACATCACAGACAGATAGACATTAGCCTCAACATTCCAGTATAATATGTTTGAGAGTTGGTGGGGTATTGTAGTTAAATCATGGGTTAGACAGGATGACTCTAGGTCAGCCTTCCTCTCTCTCTGTCTCTCTCTCTCATTAGTTGTTACTACTGTAGTAATAAAATGAAGGAAACATCAAAGTAATGGATGCATTACTCCAGGATGGGAAGGAAGGAAGGAAGGGAGGGAGGGAGGAAGGAAGCAAGCAAGCAAGCAAGCAAGCAAATAAGCTCCTGTTCATACAAACTGCCATGGGAATTAGCAGAAAGAGAATGACCCCCCTCTTTTCCTGAGCTGTTTACTTGGATAAAAGAGCCTTCCTTAATCCAGTATCCTCCAAATGAGATGGACAATGTTCCATTTTCCTCCTGATCAATAGGGCAAAAGCCACCAAGTTGGGGGAATATGGGATACAATCTGGTTAAAGTGCTGTTACTGAATGCTGTGTAACCTACCTTGAGTAGGTGCTTGAGGATCCCAAACAGCCCACAGTTGTACTAGGAAGAAGGGAGCCCAGCAGAATACATAGATGAGCACGATGACCAGTGTCATCTTGAGAGTCTTAGCTACAGCACCAGATATAGGGGATGACCCTTGTTGGCTCCCCCTACGAGCCAGGGTGGCTTCTGGCCCCAAACGCAGGCTGTGGTAGACCTCGCAGAAGATCCTGCCTTGGCAGGTGGCAATGAAGAAGGTGGGAAGGAGAAAGACCATCAGAGTCACCCAGGTGACATAAGCCCGGGCTCCCCAGGGTTCAGCAAAGGCTGCCCAGCACTCATGGGCTCCACTGGGCAGTTCTGTCTTGGAGAAGATGAAAAGCTGTGGGAGGCTGAGGAGGAAGGATGCTATCCATGCCAATAGCACAGGTCGATGCCGTAATCTTGTCCCTCTCCGAAAAGCCAGCATGGGCCGGCAAATGGCACAGTAGCGATCATAGGTCATGGCCACAATAACATAGGATGAAGCAAACATGCCGACTACCTGCAAGTAAGTGATGCCACGGCATAAGATGTCTGGGCCTTGGAAGCGATCAGTGATGTCCCAAATGAGCTGAGGGAGCACTTGGAAGAGGGCCACCGTCATATCGGCCAGGCAGAGGTGTTGGATGAATCGATGCATTGGGCTGGCCCGGTGACCCTGGCGGAACAGAGCTCCGAGCACCAGGGCATTGCTCAGAGTGGCCAGCAGGAAGATGGAAGCCAAAATGGCAATTTCAGCCTGAGCCAAAGCATCATCACGGTCATCGGATGGAGGGAGCGAAGCATTGGGAGTGGGTCCCAGAAGCACAGAGGAAGCATTTGGCATTGGATCCTGTGAAAGGCACAAGAGAGAGAGAAAAAAAGGTCTGATCAATACGTGCCCAACTTTCTCCAATTCCCACAGGAAAAACACGTCATAAAATCAGGTACGGCTGACTTAATGATTGCCTTGCTTAGTGACAGAAGTTCTGATCCTAATTATAGTTGCAAGCTGAGAACTACCTGTACTATCCTCTGCTTTTAAAAAGTACGTGTATGGTAAAGTAGTACAGAAAGGACTGTGCATAGGAAATCCTTTATTTTTACAGTTATGGTTATTTATTGGTGGCACCTTGACAGTAGGGATCTGGCAATCTCCCCAGCATCTTTTCGGATTAACTGAAACCTTGAGACTTAATTGCCTTTTTTTAAAAAGTGATTTTCAGATTTTGGGCCAACATCTGTACTTAATTGCATTTTGGTCCCAGTATACTGGTTTCAGTCCTCCATAGCAAAGAGCTAAAGGTTTGGCAATTTGGTTTACATTAGCCATTTGTATCGCTATAATAAGTAGGTAAATGCAACAGATAAAATTATTGGGGTGGGTGAAAGGAATTCAGATTTTTTTCAAGCCATGGAACCTGCTAATGAGAAAAAAATTCTCAGAACCCCTGATGAAGAGGCAAGGCTACATTGACCAAAAATCGGCAGTGTTCAAGTGAACAACTTCTTTTTCATCCTGCCTTTAGTCTCTCACAACATCTCATCAACTTTTTACAGAATTGTTGCATTATACACAACACGGTTTATAAAACTCTGAATTAAGCTTTTTCCTTGAAGTCTCACTCCTCTTCTCTCAAAGCATCTATCTCAAAGTTGGCAGAAGGTAGATAGGAATCTTCAATCTATGGTGTTTGATACATTTCTAACAGTTGGAACTTTTAACAACAATAACAGCATGATCTCTCCACCCATCCTGAATAACTCTGTCAAAATGAAGAAAACGGCATGGGGCAGAGCTGGATAAATCAGAGTGTATGTTGTATTGAAAGCTTATGAACTCCATTTAGTTTTGATGCACAATAATTTTAGATTGCTTTGTGAGGATTGAAAAAGAGCAGAAGGAAACTCAGAACAACAAAATTGGAAGGGATCTTGGAGGTCTAGTCCATCCCCGCTACTCAAGGAAAAAACACTATAGTATTTCAGACAAATGGCTGTCAAATTTCTTCTTTAAAATTTCCAGTGTTGTAGCATCCACAATTTCTGGAGGCAAGTTGTTCTACTGATTAATAGTTTCTACCTGTCACTTAATGCTAACTTAAGCCAGCATTTGAGGAAGGGTACAGGAAGGGAACAGACAGGCAGAGGACAACATTTAAAATCCAGGTTTAAGCCTGCTGCTTTTATGTTAGGTTTTCCATACTCAAACTCTTACCTTGTCATTCATAATCGGAGCATCAGCGGGCAAGTGGCTTCAACCAATAAAGCTTACTCTTCCAGCTGGCACTTTGCTTGCAGATTGCACTCAGGGCAAAAGAAAGGAACTGGCCGGAAACCAGGAATTTTCTCCTGGGTTTTTGTGAAGAAGTTGCTTCACCTTCTTCTTAATGAGATACAGTGAAATGTAGAGCTTTCAGTAATCACAATCAAGGAGGAGGGACCACCGGAAAAAAGTGGGTGGGAGTAAGAGAATTACACTGGCTTTCCCCCATCCTCAGACAACTCTGCTGGTAGGAGTATACTTGCTGACTTGATGTAGATGCCAAACACACTGGTTTTGCACAGACCTTCCCAAGAGAGAATAAAAACTTTCAGGAAAGAGGAGAAGGAGAAGGAAGTAGCAGTAGGTCAGGGTGGGTATTAACAGTTCTCCTCTCCTCCACTGCATCCCCCTCCCAATTCTGGATCTTGCAGTTTTCAAATCAAGAATGAATTAACTTGCAGTATCATGATTTATATATTGCACTCCATTTCTTGAAATCAAGGTATTATCTTTTCCAGGTGCTTCAATTGGAAGACTCCACTCCTTCCCATGGCAAGACCTGCACAGTTTATTAACAGCTACAACTTGCATTGGCATGGATTAGGTAATAGTTTCTGATGGATTATTTGCTTAACTCAGCATAGAGAATTTCATAGGTAAGACAACCCCCTCCCCCTGTCATCTTCAGTGTCTACCATGCAACTATAAAAATATAGAAGCAAAAGAAGAGAAAATCAAATTAGGGAGGCATGGTTGGTCTCGTTAGAGCTCCAAACACTTGAGTTATTAAAGCATTTCTTTTTTTTCTTATTTAGTTATACATTATCTGACAAGGCAACATGGGGCAGACAGATCTTAAAATCTCACCTTCAGTTACATTTGCCAAATGCAGATTCCTGTATTCATGCCGATTTGCTTTTTCAGTGGGAAATACAAAGCAAAATGATGTGGGCACTTTCATTGCTGGTTTAGGGTTTTATTTGTGAAGATGAACCTCAAATCCTGAACTACAACACATCAAAGTTCTTCTATCCAGCCCAAAAGCAAGGCTCTGCCAGAGTAGAGGTGGTCCTTGACTTACAACAGTTCGTTTAATGCCCATTCAAAGTTATAAAGGCAATGAAAAAAATGACTTACGATTGTTATTCACACGACTGTTGTAGCCTCTCCTGGTCATGTGACCAATATCTGTATACTTGACTCATATTTATGATGATTGCTGTTTCCTGGGGTCCCCTTTTGCAAACTTCTGTCAAGCAAAATCAATGGGGAAGCCAGATTCACTTAACATCCATGTTACTAACTTAACAATTGCAGTGGTTCACTTAACAACTGTGGCATGAAAGGTTGACAAATGTCTCAAAACCAGAAATTTTGGGCTCAACTGTGTTCATAAGTTGAGCACTAGTTATATAATTGTGTGAAAATAATCACAAAATTATCATAAGAAACTCACTTCGCTCCTTCTCAAAACTATCCATAACTGAGCGGGGCAGGAAACTATGTCGTAATCAAAATTAATATATTATAGCATAAGATACTGTAAGATCGCTAAAAACACACCTCTGCTGAACAATCAACTGACAAATACAGAAACCAATTAGTTTCTGGCAAGAGTAATTAAAACAAAGAAACCATTTGCCCACACTTCCTCAAATCCACAAATAAGCTGCCCAGACACCATTTACACAACAAAGAAGAAAGCCTACAGATACAAGGAAGGACAATTAGGGCTAAACTTTTGATGGAATCATACACCAAAATGAACATGTACTCATCCACACTGAACAGACACTACATAAAAGACCAATCCCCTATAAAACAACCCCTTTGTACCTCATCTTTCCTGTAGTTACCTCCAGGAGTGAACTGTTTTTGCTTTTGAGACTAAATGGATCACTTCCTTTTTTACAGCAGAGTGCCTTGGGTCTTATTTGCAGAACCTGGCTTAGGTTGGGGCCTGAAATTCTTCTCACATTTGGACTGGACCAAAGAAGGAGTGGGGCTTAAGTAAGCCATTATTATCTTTTCCATCTTAACATTAGCTTGCAACGTACAACACTGCAAAGAACTTAGAATGCATCAAAGCTCTATATAGATCAGTTTTGCCCAGTCTGATACTATCATATCTATTGGAGGGTACTCTAAAATTAGCAGCCCCAACTTATCTGATCCAGACAAAGCTTTTATTATTATTAGTCTCGTTGGTAATTTACATGGTGATAAATTCGGTTTGGGAGCTGAAAGACTCAATCTTCTAATAAGAGGAACTTTCAAATAATTACCTTCTACAGATGAATAGATTCTAGAACTGAAGGCCCTCCAGCTATTCTCAGAATGTCACTCCTAAAAACTGACTGGGATTGCCTGGATCTTGTGTCCAACAATAGATAAGAGACCCTATCAAGTCTCTAATTTTCTGGCTGAATATAGAGACAGGCAGTTCAACACTACAAAGGCTTCCATACAAAGTTACTTTATTGGATTATATCAGGCATCCTCAAGGTATAGCTTACAGTTATGCTGAGATTCATCTAATGTCCAGTCTTTGCATTGTCGTCTTCATAGTGTGAAAAGATAGTTATCTTCATCCCATAACGATACAGCAAGGGAAGATTCCAGCACGATGCTGGGGTCCAGGTAAGAATGACCAAAACTCCCCCAGTCCAACCAGAGGTCAATTGTGACCAATCAGGATTATAGATTGACCATATGACATGAACTACATCTCCCATGAGGCATTCCCTTAAGGGGACAGCTCCCAATTCCCAACTAACTATGCTGTCTAACCAGCACACTATATACTGTCTAACCAGCATAGACCCGGAGATTCAGTATGCCACAGACATAGTGAAAAAGTTTATTTTCTCACATCAAAAATGGAAGACAAGCTACTTGAAATATAATTTGCCCAATATAACCTTTTGTTAACATATTATACAAACAAAGAAATAGTGTTTTTTAAAAATCTAGGCTGGGGTTTTATTGCATCGTGTGAACTAACAAGTTTATTTTCTAAGATACTTATTCTACGTGTGTTCTGTAAAAAGAATTATTTGATACTGATAGGGAAAACATTTTTTAAATTAAATCAAGATCCCTGCCGTTATAAACCTCATGTAACAGGTAGAAATTCTATAGAGGAAGTTCTTCTGATTATTTCACTCTGTTCCAGACTGGTAGATTTCCTTATTCATCCACACAGGCACTAGGTAACAAAAGCAAGAGGTTCTGCCAAGAGAGAAAAATATATTTAATCTGATGTTTCTATCAATTTTTTCCTGGCAGAATTCCCATCGAAGCAGACAGAGCACATGTTTTCATATCACCTCATCTTTAGTGGGAGAAATGTCATTACTGAATGTAAAAGACAGAGGAACCTAGCCAGGATAATTGAAATATTTCTGGAACTTCCATCGCATGCAGGTCGTGTGTGCCTCAGGTTCTCCGCAGGTTCACCCTGAGTTCTTGGTTGCAACTAGGTAGATGCTGGGGGAGGAGTGGACTAGGCAGCCAGCCAGCCAGCCAGTGTGCCTGTTCCCCCTTTATCTGAAGAACATAAATGCTGCAAATGATAGTTCTGCCAA